TAAAATCAAACGTTCATCTGTGAGCTACATTAAATATTTATTAATAAAATAAAATATCTGGGGCCTTGAAAAGTACGTTTAAATGCGGTAGCTGCAATCTTGTATTATGTGCAATCTTGATAGTGCAGATGACAACGGCGTTGACGAGACCGACGCCTGATGATAATCTGTAAAGATGTCTGGAACCAAATTAATTAAGCCACGCGCATTATACTGGCATTTCATGATGTTAAAAATTTAAAAACGCGACGGACGATATAATGAATTAAGGCCGGTGCAGGCATTAGATATCAATAGAAACCAGAGGCATATTCCAAGCTCTTAACGATTGCGCAGGATACACTCTTTCAAACCTATACAGTACACTATATGGCCTCTTTCAGCTGGTGCCTGGTGTCTGTTCTTCGCTTTCAAGTGCACATTCGCGCGATGTTAGCGAAAAAGAGCCAGTTCAGGTTTCATCAGGTGCTGAAGTAAACGGTACTGTGCTTGAATACGGACTAGTTGTTACGTATCACGCGGAGCGGTGACGCTGATTGCTTACACATGAAATTTACGAGGCAGATGGGTGCGACGGCTGACACAGCTCATCGGTAGACGATGATTGCTAGCTATCTAGCCGCGTGAGGCTGTGTAACGTGCCATGCATGCGAGAGTTAAACAATCAGTGGCTTACACTGATTACCATGAAGCACTGTCAAGCCCACCGTCATTCACCGTAATCTACGGTCATTTACCGTCACCACTGTCATCCACTTCAACCACCGTCAACTGATGTCACACAGTCACCAGCCGTCAACCACCGTCATATCCGCTAGCAGGTGAATCGTCACACTACGAGTCAACGTACTGGTCCACACCAGCTTACTCGTCATCCGCCGCACAACGTTCACACACCGTCATCTGCACTCGCGCAGCCCGGTTCATCGTCCACGCCGTCGAAAGCAAAATAGCATCGTGGGCGTCAGACCGGACTTTGTCCTACGATGTCGACATGTGCCCGTCTCACCGTCACACACAGATCAAAGAGCTGTCTATCACATTGTAGAGGGCCGGCGTTCAAAAACGCCTACCGTCAACAAATGTACGCGCGCGTCATGCTCACTGAGCGTCCATCACCGCGCACCGTTCAAGCCACCCGTCTAGAGCGACTGCAGCTAAAGAGAATGCGCCGCTACGAACTCGAAAATCTACGCGGACAACCTAGACACAGGCCGTGTTCAAGCGATATGTATTAACTCGCCCGGTCAACGGAAGAGTAGAAACACCGTCAACGGCCGACTGTCACAAAATTGCGTCTGAGCTCCGTCCTACCAAGATCTCAAACCCGGGCACAGGAGGCCCAACCCATCCGATCATACTCCGACTGTTCACGATGCAGATCGATTTGATTTTGGCATTTCTATAAAAAGTCTAGCTATTATAGACCCACATGTCTCTAACGGTCACCTTACAAATCCGCTCATTGCTGACAATCTGAGTCTACATACTTCAGCAACAAGCGGCACGGCCGTCATCGCACCGTCCACACGAACCGTCATCTCAGCCGTCATCTAGCCACCGTTCAACGTTCACAGCCGTACACAGACTGTCACTATAATCATTCGTCATCGGGCTCACACGACGAATAAACCGCACTGTGTTATCCCAACCAGTCGATCCCACCGTCACGCTATCAGGGCTCAATCCGGTCAACGACTCGTCACAATCAGAGCATATGCGTGGCTTAGGTCGCTGGTAAACGCCGTCGAGAGAGCACGGCGTCACCACCGTCAACCACCGTCAACGACTGTCACACACCGTCAACCACCGTCAACCACCGTCACACACCGTCATCCACCGTCATCCACCGTCAACCACCGTCAACGACTGTCACACACCGTCAACCACCGTCATCCACCGTCAACCACTGTCACACACCGGCAACCAGTTTCTATACTTACCGGTACTCCTTGCGTAAAGGTAAGTTTATACATTACGGCTAATATTATGTCCTGTAACACTTACACATTATTATTTTCACTAATACGCGAACCGATCTGCATTTCAAAGTAGGTTTGTTTAAATATGTCAGCAGCAACAAGATGTGATTCTCGCGTCCGACGAATTACCGGCGACCTGTATCCTGTCTCGACATTATCTAACCTTTGTCTAAATGTCGAGATAGGGCACCAGTATAGAACAATTTACGTCACGTAAACATGTATACTCATTTTAATTTGTGGCAGCATTTCCATGTTATATATTCGCGAATCTCAGGAGTGCAGGCGCAAGTTAGCTGTTTTTCTTTGATATTTTATAGCCTATAACAACACAAACTCGTACTAATTTATATGCTGGAGTAATCCGTAATATGTCCGCTAATGGAGTGAGACCCGATTTTTCCACATGTATTGATGTTCAATGTATTTGAGAGATAATAGTTTTAAACTAATGCAGTCTATCGGTGGCGCGATAATTATCTGTGGCATATATCGTTCAGCCGACATCGGGAAAAGGCGCGGGTGATTTTGCCCCGATGGCTCCCAATGTTTCCTACAAATTACCCACGTCAACCAACACCTAATTATGGAAAAATACAATATTACGTCGTTATATTAATAAAATAAAATAAGGAAATGCGGCTTTTCGTTCCTCTTTCACCGAAACTGAATTTCGTTTGCGAATCGTTCAGATGCAAACTAAAGCAAATCTCAAAATGTGGTCATCGCCATACTTTCGTTGCCTTTGATGGCTATGTTTTCCCGAAACATCGATTTTCCAACACAAAAGACGTCCGCATATATATTTCTCCACCCGGCTGACGTTCGTATAATTGAGTTTGGGGAGATTGTGCGCGCTATGGCCGACTGGAAGCGAGGCTTGACTTGACGCGTGTGCGGTTGAGCATGGCAATAAGAATGTCTGTGTACGCATGTATAGTTCTGCCTCGCATACGGTCTCCGGGGTACAGATATATTCTTTCGCTGCGCGGCTGCACGAGAGAGAGAGAGAGAGAGAGAGAGAGAGAGAAGAGAGAGAGAGAGAGAGAAGAGAGAGAGAGAGAGAGAGAGAGAGAGAGAGAGAGAGAGAGAGAACGAAAAGGCGACCCGCCGAGATAAGCGAGACGTTAAGAATTTCCTTACCAACTAAATCTCGAAGACTTATACGGGTTCTTTATCGGACGCCAAGAAAATTCTCATCTCCTATGGAATGCTGATAAATTCGCGATCCCCTGAGTAACACTTCTTCTTACTGCTCCTCATCCAACGTAGATTGAGCAAGGCATGATCCCGCTTTCGGAAGCTGTAATCTTCTCACCTCATTCCTCGCGCGATGCTGAGGCCATTATTACACATGTGCGTCTCGTATGCACAAGCATCTGTAGCACGCAGACGCATCGCGTATACTTCGTCATGGTTATTATATATATGCACCAACGCAACGCATGCAAACGGCGCGCAACACACACACACCCGCACAGCACGCGCCGCACAAACACACACACACGCGTACCACAGCACACACACACACACACACACCCACACACACACACACAACACAGCACTCACTCACACCACACACACATCACAACACACACGACACACACACACACACACAACACACACACACACACACACACACGGGTACACACGTGCACGACAGCACACACACACAAATATATAGTATATATATATTTATATATATATACATTCTCGCACTACAGAAATAACACGAGTCCCGTTACACAAATAATCTTACTCTCTCCGACAAACCGCAACCTATCATTTACGCAGACAGCGGCTCCCAAGCTACTATGACGCCAAAGTTTGCATTCAACGCGCAGGCGCGTTTACTGCCGCGCAGACGCGTTCGCCTACACGTATGCACGGCGAGAGCCAAAAAAAGCCAACGAGACTGAATGCTCGATGGACGCGCATGTTTGACAGCGGGGCCTTCCCGCGAAAACGACAAGCTCTCGCTCGGAGAAAGAGAGAGATAGCGCGTGCGTGCGCCCGGAAAAGCATTCGCAGCTGGCACTGCTCGTGTTTGTTTGGGATCGCGTCGGGCTTCTATTTCGCCGTGAATGCGGCGGTAGGGTCTGTAGCGATACGTGTAGACATCGGCGCAGGCATGCTGCCTGCTGCGATCGCATACGAGATGTTTACGAGAAAAGTAAACTGCGGCGAGAACACTCGGAATGTAATACTAAAAGCTGTTTAGCTAGGAAGCGACAGTTAATGCTGGCGATGGGGCGTTGCGGAAAGTGGTGGAATAAATGCGCTGCGCATCGCGCCTGCAATATCGATTTCGAGACATTTCTACCGCAAGTGTTTTATTGCCGTTCAGTGTTGTGCCGTGTGCGTTGCGTTATGTGTGTGTGTGTGTGTGTGTGTGTGTGTGTGTGTGTGTGTGTGTGTTGTGTGTGTGTGTGTGTGTGTGTGTGTGCGTGTGTGTACGTGTGTGTATGCACGTACGTGCACGCGTGTGTACGCGCATGCAACACGCATATCACTAGGAAATTTACAGCCGAATATTAAAATATCACGCTTCTTTCTATAGGATGAGCTTCTACATCTTCCCTCGGAGAACAGACATCCACACGTTGCGCCACGGGACATCAGCATAATTCACATGGATTCTATTGCGCTGAGGATCGCCGCTGTAGCTCGGTGCGCATGCACAAAGTGGCTGCAGATAACGAAGCCCATAGAGTCGACTGCTGGAGACCCGATCTCTCCTCCGTGAACCACTCCCGATAACAGTCTGCCTGACTGTAAATTTGAACAACTCGCGGCTTCCTCCACTATGGTGCCAGCGAGTCCCGAGCGAGTAGTTAATAGGAACTGGCACAAGGTCTGACCTCGTTTTCCCGTAGGAGAGAAAGAGGCTGCTGCCGCCGCCGCCGCTGCTACCGCCACCATAGAAACCCGATTATCGCCTGCTCTCGTTCTATATTTGCTTCGCGCAGTCAGCGAGAAGCTGCGATTACAAGGCGCTGTGACACGCGCAGGCCGCACGTCGCGAGATTACGCGACAGATAACGAGACAGCCGCGACGTCGACGGTGTGTCGGAACGACTTCCCACGTTAGCGACACCCGCCGCCGCGCCCTCTACCGTCGCTGTGACGACGTCGGCAGACGGAGTTTTCAGCGGACGCGATGAGGATGCCACGTGAGAAAACTCGACTGCGTTGATCTCCGTGTTGCGCTTAAACCCACCGGAGGCGCTTTTGTCGGCATAGCTGCCGCCCGCCTGCGCTGGTATGCGAACGTGAGCGAGCGTGTGTGTGTGCGCGCGCGTGAGTGCGTGTGTGAAACCACACGCGTCACTTGGAACGGCTCGAGTAGGTGTGGACATCGAAAGCACGATCGACACGTTGTTCGCATACCCATGCCGCCGCGTGCGCATAAGTAGTTATTAGCACGAGGCTACTACAGCGTACGTGCCTGCGCGTGCGTGCGTGCGTGCGTGCGTGCATGCGTGAACCTCAGCGTCGCTCGCTAATCGTGTGAATAAACATGCGCGTCGGTGTCGCCGCGTGCGGATAGCCTGCCGCGGAGGAGCGATGATGAGCGACATTGCTGCTGCTTCCGCAGAGCTGACGTCGGTGAGCGAGCGTTGTAGGCCAGCGGCCTAACGTATACACAAACAACGATACACTCTATGGTATTTACAGCTCTGCAGTGTGGTATGCGCGGTTGTTTACCCGTGTGAGGACCATGTGTGCAGGTGGTTACGTGAATTCGACACCATGAGTTTCATACAGTATAGGTAAGCTATAACTTTATATACTTTGTGTTGAGAGAGGCATAAATTATTGACTTGTTTCTCTTTCTCTCATTTTACTTCCACCTTTCATAATCTCTCAGTCACCTTCTCCCTCAATCTCTGTCAATGTTTCTCTCTCTCTTACTCACACACGATTTCTTTCTTGCTTTCTCCCCCTTCTCTTTCTCTCTCTCTCTCTTTCTCTCTCTCGCTATTTCTCTTCCTCTCTTTCTCTTGCTTTCTCCCCTTTCTCTCTCGCAATTTCTCATTATCTCTCTCTCTTGCTTTCTACCCCTTCTCTCTCTCTCTCGCTCTCTCGCTATTTCTCTTTTTCTCTCTCTCTCCCTCTCTATCTCCCCCCCAACATCTCTCGCTCTCGCTATTTCTCTCCTGCCCTGCAGCGATTCCAACACATAACGTATCCTGTTCGGCTGCAATAACGACGACGTATTACTCGTGATAGTTTCGTCGCAATTGCTGAGATAATCTTTGTACTCGTCCTCTCTCTCTGTACTCGTTTTTTTTACTCGAAATGCGTATTGCAGCCTCGATCGTTATGTTATATTTGTTTGTTTCTTTGCTGATGTTTTATTAAGATACGCCTCTCGAGCATGCCGTCACTGGCTCTATAATATATAGTCACTGGCTATAAATAAATAAATATATATATATATATATAATATTTAGTCACTGGCTATATCAGCATGATATGGTGCTATATAGCTGCTGCTGTGTAGCATGCTGACTCTATAAATGCTGCTGTGTAGCTAGTCCGACCAGGCTGTGCGACGAATTGTCTATAGCTGTGCGACGGACTCTATATTGCTAGGGTATTCTAACCCTAGCAATACCGTTTCTTGGAGCTACTGTGTAGCATGCTGACTCTATAGCTGCTGCTGTGTAGCATACTGACTCTATAGCTGCTGCTGTGTAGCATACTGACTTTATAGCTGCTGCTGTGTAGCATGCTGACTCTATAGCTGCTGCTGTGTAGCATGCTGGCTCTATAGCTGCTGCTGTGTAGCATACTGACTCGATAGCTGCTGCTGTGTAGCATAATGGCTCTATAACTGCTGCTGTGTAGCATACTAGCTCTATAGCTGCTGCTGTGTAGCATGCTGACTCTATAGCTGCTGCTGTGTAGCATGCTGACTCTAGAGCTGCTGCTGTGTAGCATGCTGGCTCTATAGCTGCTGCTGTGTAGCATACTAGCTCTATAGCTGCTGCTGTGTAGCATGCTGGCTCTATAGCTGCTGCTGTGTAGCATGCTGGCTCTGTAGCTGCTGCTGTGTAGCATGCTGACTCTATAGCTGCTGCTGTGTAGCATGCTGACTCTATAGCTGCTGCTGTGTAGCATACTAGCTCTATAGCTGCTGCTGTGTAGCATGCTGGCTCTATAGCTCAGCATGCTCACCAGCAGCAGTTATGAGAGGTACAAGTATCTAACACAGCAGCAGGCTATAGAGGTCTTACAATGCTATACAGCAGCAGTATAGAGCAGCAATGTACACAGCTGCGTAGTTAATAGAGATCAGTATGCTACACAGCCGCAGACTATTAGAGCCAGCATGGCTAATACAGCGGAGCAGCTTAGGAGCAGCATGCCACGAGCAGCTTGCATATACCGAAGCAGCAATGCTATAAAGCAGGAGCTATAGAGTCTTCAGCATGCTACCAGTAGCAGGTCTAGTATAAGCCTAGTATTGGCGTACACAGCAGGCAGCTAAGGAAGGGCCAGCATACATAAACAGGGTCCAGCAGCTATGAGTCAGGCATGCTAGCACAGCACAGCTTATAATCAGAGTGCAGCATTGGGCTACACGCGCAGCAGCTACATGGAGGGCCCAGCCTTGCTAACAGGAGGCAGACTATAGGAGCCAGCATGGCTACCACAGCAGCGAGCTTATAGAGCGTTAATGTATGCTGACAGCAGGGCAGCAGCTACTCATGAAGTCAGCGATGCTAGCACAGCAGCAGGCTAATAGAGTCAGGCAATGCTCACACAGCACAGCCTACAGAGCCAGATGCTGACACAGGGCACAGCTATAGAGCGAGCATGGCCTACACGCAGCAGCAGCTGATAGAGCTATGTGATGCGACACAGCAGGCAGCTATCAAGCAGTCAGCATGCTCACACAGCAGGCAGCGTCGTAGAGCGGCAGTCTGCACGACAAGCAGCTAGTTGAGATCAGCATGCTAGACAGGGACAGCTATAGAGTCACATGCATAACAGCGCACAGCTATCGGAGGAGCCAGGCGATGCTGACAGGCAGCATGCCGCAGTAACGAGGCAGCAGCTACACAGCCAGCAGGCCTTATAGAGCTGGAGTAGCACCAGCAAGCAGCTATAGGAGCCAGCATTGGTCACACAGGCAAGGCAGTTCTGAGAGTCAGCAAATGCTGATCAGCACAAGCAGCTAAGAGGTCAGCAGTTGCTACACAGGCACAGTCTATAGAGCTAGGGTATGCTACACTAGCGAGACGCGGTGTGTGTAGGCGACCATTAGAGGGAGGGCGCCTACACAGCGAGGTCGAGGTTAGTTCGTAGTGCAGTAAGTGGAGAACTACATGAGCGCCAGGCTAGGCATAGGCGATAGGGAGATGCGAAGGTCGAAGTGCTACTAGGACACGGCCGAGCAGCATAGGCGTGCGGGTGGCGAGATCGAGTGTCGTATGCATGCAGCGGAGCGTGGAACAGCTGATCTGGGTGAAGAGCGCGGAAGCCGCTAGAAAAATAAAAAAAAAACACAATGCGAGGCAAGCTGATAGAGCGCAGTAATGCCTGACATCCAGCAGGCAGTTATAAGCAGTCCAGTATGACTACACAGCACAGCTGAATAGAGCGATATGCCTTAACACAGTAGCAGTTATAGATCAGCATCGCTACCAGCGCAGCTATACGAGCTAGCATGCTATAGCAGCAGCAGCTATAGAGCGCGCATGGCTACACAAGAACCGTATAGAGCCAGCCTGCGTACAACGAGCGAGCACTATAGAGTCAGCGATCCTTACAGCGAGCACGAGCCTATAAAGGTCAGTAGATCTATCACCGCACGCAGTCGGCAGATGGTACAGAGGGCAGGCGTGCCTACTTCGCAGTCAGGGCAGCTAATAGAGCTCAGCCTGCTACAGGTCAGCAGCAGCTATAGAGTCAGCAATCGCTAACAACAGGCAGGCCAGGCTATAGAGGCCAGTATGCTACCGCAGCAGTTAATGAGAGTCTAGTAGGTGCTACACAGCGAGCAGGCTATAAGGGCCAGTAATATACACAGCGCAGTTATAGAGTCAGCATGGCTTACCCAGCAGCAGCTATAGAGCTAGCATGCTATACAGCAGCAGCTATAGAGCCAGCATGCTACACAGCAGCAGTTACATAGAGCCATGCCTGCTACACAGGCAGCAGCTGATAGAGTCAGGCATGGCTATAGCAGCTAGCAGCTATAGAAAAGTCCAGTATGCACACGGCAGCATGCTATAGAGTCAGTACTGTCTGACACTAGCAGGCCGAAGCTATAGAGCCTCAGGCATGACTATCACAGTAGCTCCAAGAAACGGTATTGCTACGGGTTAGGAATACCCTAGGGCATATAGTAGTCG